TTGGCACCTATGATGTAAATTTTTACCGTAGGATGCTCTTTCATGAAATTTCTCACCCAACTCACCCCCTGCCGTAAAATGTTGTGTTTAATTTTGATGTGAAGTAGGCCTATAATATGCCTACAGCACTGTAGTTGCTTGACCACATCGATTTACAGGTCGATGAGACAGGAGATATTTGGCGGGTTGTCCACGACAACTTTCGCTAGGAGCCTTACAACTGCAATGTACGATTAAACTATACGTGATTAATATTTTGTCTGGGTATATTTTTCAGGAATATTTATTGCCCTGCTGTTAAGATTCGATAGAAGGTAACTGCTATTAAAGAAATATCTTATAAAATATTTTCTACAAAGCACCATGTGATGTATAGTAGCTGTATAACTATATTTCTATAATGAACTCTGCGTTTTATTTCCAGGAATGTTGGCAGTGACTCAAAGCGCCCTATATATTTCTACTTCACAATGGTGGCGTATTTTCTTGGCTTGTTATTGACCGTTCTAGTGATGCACGTTTTCAAAGCAGCGCAACCAGCATTGCTGTACCTGGTGCCTGCTTGCCTTGGCACCCCTATAATCCTGGCTTTGCTCAAAGGAGATATAAAGAGTCTCTTTACGTAAGTATTTCCATTTCACGATTCGTCACCCGCGCATTTGATGTGCAGGAAACATTTCAATCTATTATTAATGCGAACTTTGAGCGTACTTTGTACCTGGGGTCAGTTGTATAGAAACATATATTATAAGCAAAAAAACAACATGGTAGCTTTTATCGAACGACTTCTCATTAAATGTGGCAAAACATCCACGTCTTTCAATCATTAAGTACTAGAAAAACATGCATGAAGCACCCCTCGCCATTTTCAAGCAAGAAAATAATCTCCTGGGCCTAGATTAACTGTAACTATAAGTTTATATTATGGAATGACTCAATGACAAAGCGTTGCTGGCCAATGTTTTTATCATTTGGTAAAAAATATACTCGCAACATTGAAGATGATGTCAGTCCGTTTTTACAGGCGTTTATAGGCCCTCCCTGCTTAGCTTAGGTAACAGTTAATATTTCAACATTTGAGGATTCAGAAAAACATAAAAACAGTACAAAATCTTCAACTTAGTACAGAACCTCAAATATTCTTCGAATAAATATGCCGTTGACAGTCGTAAAAGCTACATTTAAATATAAATTTACGTTTTAAAAAACCCTTTTTCAAGTTAAAGCGATGATGTAAAAGCCTTTCATAGCCCAACATGACTATGGAAAACGACGTATCAAGCTCATATATAAATAAACTACATTCTTCTTCATACAGCAAATGCAGAATATTATACTGACTATAGACACGTATCGATTTAATACATTTCGAAGCTTTATATAGAGCGAAAATGTTGAAAAGCAACCCTTTTTGTTTTTGATCAATATTTCTTGATGATTTTCATTGCATCTGTTGTAATTTTCCCCATTTTATTTGGTTTAATTTGTAAAAACAGTTTTATAAAAAGTTCTGCGAATTTGCAGTTAAATTGCTGAGTGCTGACGTTATACCGGGCGTAATTCCTAATCTCCGGGCGGAATTAGTACCCTCGGCTCCGCACCTGCTCGGGGATTAACCTTTGACAATCATTGTGTCCCGCGTACGAATTCTGAGCCCCCTGTCCCATGTCTTGTAGCAACGATAACGTCAAATACACCACGAGAAATGCGACTTATTCACAGTCACTCTCTATCCTTTTGAAATGAAAGCCTGTATCTTTCATTTTGGTTCTTTCCTGAGTTCCATCATTTTTAGTTCACTTCTTGTAACACGAATTACCAATTCATTTGAATACATCTTCAGCTACATTGTCCTGCCAAGTTTGGCCTTCCCGATTGCTAGCTATGTTATAGGCATTGATTTGAAATTATGTTCTGGTCCTGCCCCCCCCCCCCCAACACACACACACACACACACACACTTTAAACAAGTTCCCGAACCCTGTACATTCGCCTTCATTTTCGTAACCGTCGGTTTTAGAGCAGTTATTTTAAACAGATTTAAGATTTCACCTTTTTGAAAACACCGAAGTAAGAAATGGAAAAGTCCGTATATAAATTCCATTGTGTCCGTTTTAAGCTTCAAATTGTTGCATGAGTGGTAGAAAAAGGAAATTTGCTTTTTCAAATAAAAATACCGCCATACCATAATCCTCATTTTTTTCCATTTATGAACCAGGTATCAAGATCACACAGAAGAAGCGCTTAATAAAAAGCCAGATGAGGCTTCTGGTGAAAACGCGAATAAAGAAAATGCAAGCAAGGAAGGCGAAAACAAGGAAAACGAGAACAAAGAATCGGCAGAGAGCGATGAAACCAAGAAGTCTTTGTAAATATAGTACCTTGTCCAGCATGGATTACAGCAATTTCATTTCGGGGTTTTAGGCATCTTATAACTTAGTGTAGATTATTTTCATTGGTCATTAGAGCTGATTTGACTGGGCTGGATTGTGTGAAGAAATTGCATGGTAATTTTTCAACCATTCTGTAATCCATACTGGCAGCGGCAAGATGTCTGTATACGGCCCTCAGACACTCTCACTCGGTCTTTCAGTCAGAAAAAGGCAATATAAATATTATTTATCTTCTCATTTTAAAGATTTTCATAACTATCTTATCTCTGCAAACATTTTGATTAAAAGGAATAAGATGTCCGCCATCTTTGATTTCTGTAGAAGTGCATGTTACCTCCCAAAAGTAGAATTGCATTGCAAGTTGCAAGAAAAATTGCACTATGTAACAGGGCCTTCTACAGCTATGCCTTTCGACAACATTTGGCAACCAATATCTGGTCAGCAACGAACATTTGTGGGGTTAACCCTGTTGCGACCTCACCAGAACTATCTGCGAATTCCAAAAATGGAAAATCTGTAAAAGAGGTTAACCCTGTTTGAAAAAAAACTTTTCAGTGAGAAAATAAAAGTTGCATTGCCCTTTCCTTAGGCAATATTAAAGCAATTTATAGAGTTGTGATTTAAGAGGTCTGCAACATTCGATCAACCGTACCCACGACCAACATAAGCCTCGGCTTATGTTTGTATTAAATACAAGGTCTTATTGGGTTGATGTTGTTACCTCTTTCCAATCGCAAACTGCCAAAGCCATGTCATAACCAGTCAAAACCATTCGCTACTAGCTAATTTTGCAATAGATCCTTTCAATAAGCTCTTAGGGCAGCTTTCCACTGTCGCGTTTTTTTGCAGTATGCTGCGTACACGCACGTAAAAGCTTAAAACCTTCTAAGTTGTTGTATAATTAATTTTATGCCAAAAAAAACGATGGGAATCATCAGCAGAATCCAACCCTATGCATCTATTCAATCGTTCATTTCATAAGTATAATTTTAATTATTTTAAACCTTTACGTACGTATACAAAGACCGGGACAGTGGAAAACAGCCCTAAGCCATAACAGAAAAGCGATATGTTGTGCACCTTTATGGTGAAAGCATTTTTTGCAGTTCTTGGGATTAAAGATTGCAATCCATTTCATTTAAGGTGGCTATAAGTTGAAAACCATGAAGTTGTAACGTAATTATTAAAAGGTCTATCTATCTAAATGAAGATTTTGTTTGTGCTTTAGTATATAGAAAGAATTCGCTGTCTTCCCTTGCAAACTGCCGGACCACCCATAACCCCAATCAACAGCTCTATCGCTGCAACTTCTATTCGCTGTTTCGTAAAAAATAACCATTTATACAAGAACATGGGGGAACTTGAGTTTGAATATAAACAAAACATAATAATGTATCGCAACAAAGATAGACTTAGGGCGAAACCTCATACTATGCTCTGCGCGCTAAATTCATTATCGTCAGAACGAAGCGGAGATGCGCTTATTGAAAAATATAGGTACTACTTTAGTGGACCAAATGTGAAAACATATTTCTGCTAGCCACGCCGCTTTTTCACATCAAACCGGGTTTTGTTAACCACCTGCAACGATATAAATATGCCATAATTATGCCATGCAGAGACAGCAAGTTTGCTTGTTTCAAACGTCGTGTTTCTCATCCGCCGAACGCATTTATAGTTAATCCAATTGAGATGCTTCATTATTTCGAGAAGCACAACGTTTGAAACGGCCTTACTGTAAGGTTGGAATGTTCTTTGAGGTAGTAAAAGGTGGTTGAATTGGGGAATAAATTCTGACTTGATACTCTTGAAGAAGGAACGATCACTCGAATAAATTTATGGAAAAGTTCGGCGAATCTTGCTCAGGTACATGCATGGTCATGGTTGGTTTAAAGAATCTGTTGGCTTAAGCCTCTTACAGACGATCAAGTTTTCTATGACAAGTTTTTATGTGACAAGTTTTAATTGTTCTACTCCCCCAACTTTGACAATTTTTTTCTATGACCAGTACACTTGTTCAAACTCAAGTATACTTGATTTTGAACAAGTGCACTTGTCAGAAAAAATTGTCAAAGTACAAAATTTGCTCGTCTGTATGAGTCAACAAAGAAAACTTGTCACATAATGTGAGCACTTGTATGCGGTTGGCCAGCGGACTATAGTATTTTGCAATGGCGCGCTCGTTGCTCGTTGCGCTCGCGTTGTCCGCTGTACGATTACATCGCTGGCTGCAAACTAAATTGTCAAAGTAAACTTGTTGGCACGTTCAACTAGGCTTTATACGCCCGTGAATTTTTTATCTCACCGAAGTTTTCTTTTTTTAGAAAGAACGAATCGTCCGAGAGATGGGAAATTTATGGACGCAAATACAAAATCGATTTCGGTGTAAATTAGCATGAGTAATATATGCATGGATTTGGCTTTTTGGCTGGGATATGATGAACGTCAACACTCCTCTTTTTATTTTCAACTTTTCAGATTGCGATTTTTTGCACGAGTTGGCCTGGTCGTGTCAAAGCATGCGGAGTAAATACGAGTGATTCTGGGGACTCATGTCACAGAGCGCCTACACCATAAAAATGCATAAGAAATTTTATTTCTAGAAGAAGATAATAGTAATGATAACTCTCGCTTCGCTTTGTCAAATATCTCCTAATGGAGAACTCGGTCACGTTCTTTGATTTTATTTATTGAGGATTATAACGTGCTCATCTTTTGGCAAGAAAAAAATAACTGGATTTTGTCGAGTTTTGGAATCTACTTTGATATTCTTTTTTCTTAACCATTGACGATGAAAAACTATCGCAACACAGGCAATGATAAATCCAACGACGATGATTGCTGGTATTGTCATCAATATTGGCGATTTGGGTTGATTCGATTTCTTGCCTGATTTTGATTTTACTGAAACTGGAAATAGACATTGTGGCTTTGTTAATTGTTTGGTAATGGGTATAATTCTACTGCAACAATTTATCTGTTCTGGAATTAACGTCAATTTCAGTACGTTGTTTTACCTTGTTAGATACAGCTTTTCCTTGTGTTACGAAGTGCTTCGTTCCATATTTATAATTCAAATTTATTCAATTCCTGTGTACTTTACATATTTGCATAATTGCTAAGAACAATTAACGTACTTTGTTGTGATGTAAATTCAAATTTACAATTGGAATTAGATACGGAAGTTGGCAACGTACTTCCGTAATTCGAAACGTAGTTCCCAGTTTCCTAACAAACGTCGCAACTCGGCGCGGAAAAGTAAACTGAAATTGACGGTAACTGAATCAGTTGGACTGCGATTAAAAATGAAATATTCAGTCTATGGTGCACGCTAACTTCCTGGTGCAGCATTAATAACATTTAGTGCTGAACAGATGGTCATAACGAGTCTCCATAATTTTTGAAGAGATTTTGAAAAAGGTAGTTTATACAAGCAAACCTCTAATCTTAATTCCTCTTGTTATAATTCATTCGCCACTCCAAATACCTTTTTGGCAAAATCTACTATCATGGTAGTAGCTACGCTTTAATGCAAACTGGAGAAGTGTATAGTTCTCTACGTCAGTAAAATCGAAAATTCTTACCACTTGCTGTACATTCAACTCCGACGTCATTCTCATGCGAACAATGATTATCCCCCCAACTGCTAAGATAACAATTTTCTATTTTTTCTTCATTTCCTGAACAAAAGATGAAATCCAACCATATTCTCCCAGAACCGAGTGGAACTTCGTCTCTTCGTAGAGCCCTAACAGCATCATAATACCCAAGCTGACGACATATAACCTTGATGCTAGCATTTCTCATGTGCCATCCATGATAACGTGCGCGTGCACAGATTGTTCCCCACTGCCCATAGTAGAAGACCTCAACACGGCCAATACCATATGCACTCAATGGTCCTTGTAACCTCAGTCGCAAAGGTACAGCGGTAAAATCTTAAAAAATAGTAATGAATGGTACTTGTGTAAATCATTTTGCAATGTTTTATGCGCGCTGCGAAAATGTGTGAAAATCTTTTTGGAAAAAGGCATAAGGTCTCATTTGGCAAAAGGTTTTTCTTTGAATTGGGGCCGCTCGAAACATTATTTCCACTTAATTGTTCTCATTCCAAAAAAGGTGAAATATTTCGCATTTTGCTGACCGTGGAATCAGGCTTTAAAAGAATTTAGAAAAATGAAAAACTTACCCACTGAAAATTTTCAAAATCTTAGTTTGGATATACGGCGAATACGTTGTTTTGTTTATCGACTTGTATAGCTTCGATATACATGTAGCTACATTTTGAAGCAAATGCCCAATCTTTTTTATTTTATACTTTCTTGAACATTTTACAATTGTCTTCTTTTTTCACACAACTTTTAAGAAAAACAACACATTTTATAGGCTATTTGGCGAAGCCATTTTAAGAAAACCTGGTCTGTGTTGAGGAGATAAAGTGGAAGATTATTACAAATCATAGCGATATATATTCAAATACTTTTTAAACGTTTTGATTAAAATTACATACTACTTTTTCGATTTAATTACTAGTTGCACTTTTTGGATTTAATTACTAGTCGTATTATGAATTACCTGTTGCGGAACATTGAACACTGGCGAATTCGTCAACATGATAAGGTCCCCAAGGTCCCCAAGCATCATGAGAACAGTTTGCAAGATTTCGTTCATCCCCAGTGCAACTGACATGTTTTAACCATACCAGGTCAGAGCTGGCTGGAACCAGATTCGATTTAAGAGTCTTCGCATTATCTGGATTATATCCAAGTTGACGACATGCAACCTTAGCATTTTTTTTATTCCAATAATAACCAGATATTTTCCACCAATATCCGTGATAGAGTACTTCAACAAGACCAGTGCCATTTGCACTTAAAGGTCCTTGCAATCTGAGTCTCACAGGTGTACCAGTAAAATCTTAAAACAATAATGGAATGTGTGAGATCACAACGGTATTCGTAAATTTGATTAACTCCTTTTTATCACTTTTATTAACAATCACTATTAACTTCAATGTCTGTATGTGTTTGATAAGATTTGTATACAACCAAATGAAGGCAAGAGGTTGTAGAATCCTATTAACCATGCACGAACATGAACTTTGTACTCAACGACGTATGATAGCAACCCATCTTACGAGTCTATCGGTGCTGTTAACGACTTCTTCGCATTAAAGTTTGCGTTTTGCCTTTCAAACGTTTGCCTTTTAAACCACCTCAGCTAACGTCCGGCAAAAGGTTGGCATTATTATTAATGCGAAGTTTTATTGAACCCCTTTAGACTAGCTTGTACAAGGAAAAAAAACTAGGATTCATAGGTATACTATGTGGGAATGCATGAGCCAGTGGCCTCAACGTAAACAACTTTAGGCTATTTAGAATCAGTAATAATTTATTCTGTCCTTGAAAGTCGGAATTTTCCCCGAAATACCTGGCCCCGCCCTTCTTTCTCCCTATTTCTTATGCCCGTACGCCTTTGATGAGATCATTGTTGTTAGTTTTTTACCACTTTCATAAAAACAATTGATGATAGGTTTATTTCTCTAACTTCATACCTGTTCTACTGCATTCAACGCTAGCCGGCTGTTGTATGCAGAGGTCACTAGGCTCCCAAGGCTTATGAGCACAGCTTGTGATATTTTCTTCTTCCCCAGTGCAGACTATTTTAGACAGCCATTTCATTCCAGAAGTGTAAGGTACCTCGTAACTTAGAAGGGTTCGAACAGCATCTTGATAACCAAGTTGACGACATACAACTCTAGCAATTTTTATATCCCACCCAATGGCACAGATTGTTCCCCAATATCCATGATATAAAACTTCAACGCGACCAGAGCCATTCACGCTTAATGGTCCTTGTAACCTCAGTCTTACAGGAGTAGTTGAAAAATCTTAAAAAATATTGTCCAAGTGCATGAGACCAGTGCTAGGAAAAATCTAAGTTTGTTTTTGTAATATCTTAATTTATCTTTAATATCTATATATAGAACCTCATTCTTTAATCTTTTTCCTAACTAAACTTACGAACGTATTCCTCACCCACATAGTACTGTAGTTGACTTAAATGTAAAATTATCATTATATCAACTTTGGTGGGCATTGCGATGTATGTTGAGGACTAAAATGATAAATTTGCTGGGCTGAAATATATTTTAGACCGCTAATTTAAGCAAATCAGAAGAGTGACTAAAGTGTTTACCCATTGCATATTTTTATACAAAAATTGCCCTTTAAAGTTAACATAATAGTAATACAGTTGATGTTTTCGGGCATAAATGTGTTTTTGGCCCCTTTCAGAGCACAGTTTGCGTTGAAACAATAATGGCAATGTAAGAAGCATTTTGGAAGAGTCAAAAGACCATTTGAACAATAAATTAAGCCTAAAAGGACAAGGTTTTGCGCTCACAATTTGAAAAAAAGTATCCCCAAAATGGCGGCACATTCGTTATCATGAGAAAGGCTAATTTATCGTCAATTTTTTACCTGTTGCTGTACATTCAACACCGGCGTCATCCCTATGCGAGCAAAAATTATAACCGGCCCAACTTGCGTGAAAGCAGCTCGTTATATTCTGTTCTCCCCCAGTACAATCCATCTCAGACAACCATATTACCCCAGAACCCGAAGGAACCTGATGAGCATAAAGGACCCTAGCCACATCATTATAACCAAGTTGACGACATGCAACCCTAGCATCTTCCATATCCCATTTATAATCGCAGATTGTTCCCCAACGTCCATTGTAGAAAACCTCAACACGACCAGTGCCATTTGAACTTGACGGTCCTTGCAATCTTAGTTGCACAGCTAAAAAATCGTGAGAGAATAAAAGAGTGCAAGAATAAAACAGATCATGAAGTCAATGTGTACGAATTAGAGCTGAACGAACCCACAGGTAATGTTATTTGAGAGCGATACTTTTTATCGAATCCCGGAGTGATTCTCTTTCTGTTACCTTGTCTTTCTTTTTCTATTACGACTATATGCATTTATAACAACCCCTAGCCATTTTAAACCGCGAAAACGATTTTCCAAACAATTCAGAAAGTCACCTCGATTAAATATATATACCATGCAGCCGTATACCTTAGCTACAACACGGACTGTCGGCAACATAAATTACGAGAACTAGGCTTAAACAAAGTATTGAGTTTATGCCCTAAGCAGTTTAAGGGGACTAATTTTACGATATAAGGTTTGAATCGTTCATGTGAGATGTTAATAGCTAAAAATTATAAATTAAACATAAATGCAAGATGGCGGAAGGTCACTGTGAAACGAGCTCTGATCAAATCCGAAATAATCTCAATCATCTTGCGATTATGTTTGCGATTTTGACATAATTAACGAACATATTAAACTCAACCATATGTTTTATGATGGAAAGCGGATTATGTGGTTCCATCAGCTATGAAACCCTGCAAGATTTCGTTCAATTTGCCCAACAAGGCAATTGTGGCTTTCTGGAGGAAATTCGAAGAGGTTTGAAGCACTTGACTTTAGTATGATATATAGTACCCAAGCAAGCTAAATACGTTGATATTTAAAGGTGTAGTTGGTGGGTGAATTAAAGCAAGTCTCAAATTTAATTGAGTTTAACCGTGGTTTATCAGTGGCGCTGGTCAACCAGTTTAGGGGTCTTGAGTAGAATTTGATGAAAGGAGGCATTCATGATATCTTATACAAACCAACTGGAAATTAAAGAGAAAATGCATAAATCTATAAATAAACACAGCTTTGTAGTTTGTAAGCAAGTAAAAGAACGTGTTTTCAAAGCTATAAAGGTCAAGGAATTGTATAGAGAGAAAGGAAAAGGATATATACCTAGGTTAACCGCGGTTTTTGTTAGCTTATGTCTGCATGGACAGTACTGTATTGCTTTAAAATGCACTAGTATATACAGAACATGATTTAGTTATACCTGTTTTAAAACATTCAACTCCGACGTCTTTATAGTGATGGCAAGAATCACTAACCCCCCATCCACTGTGGGAACAACTTGTTAATGTTTCTTCTTCACCAGTACAATCGACATTTTTTAACCATATTTCTCCAGAACCATTAGGAAACTGCTGTGAAGAAAGTACCATACCCGAATCTATGTACCCAAGTTGACGACATACAACCCTAGCATCTCTTATGTCCCATCCATCATTACAAATTGTTCCCCAGGTTCCGTTGTAGAATACTTCAACACGACCAGTGCCATTTGCACTGCGTGGCCCTTGTAATCTGACAGGCACAGTTATAGCTGTAATTGAACAAGAATAACAATGAACGGTAAAATATGAAGTCAAATATAGTAAAATGGGGGGACATATTTCATGTTCATATACCATGAAACCATCCATTTGAAAAGAAATAACGTAAAACACGAATATATTATTATATATTAATATACTGGTGTTAGGCCGGTCTAAGTCAAACGTCGTGCATCTCATGTTCCGAGCGCATCAAAATTTAAAACAATAGTCTAATGTTCCGTGCGTTAAACAAAAGTATACAAATTTGTAAACTTTGCAAGGCTATATTTCCCGTATTTTACAACATTTAGCAACCAAACTTTGCATTTATACTAATCTTGGTTTAACCATTCTTTATATATAATTAAACGTTTTAACCAGAAACAACTGCATGGTCAAAACAACCAAAATATTGGGTTGGTTTGATCATTTATGACTGGGTAGAATGACCAGTTAACAATGAATGAATAATAATAATTAATATGTATAATTAAGATGAATTTTGTTGGTTAAATTTGGACCAATTTTAACTGGCATGTACTCTTAGATGCATCCAGGTGACCAACTTTTTGGTCATTACGATCAATCAGTTTTCACAGTGTATTTTGACCATTTTTAGAGGCAAATTCCTGGAGTAAATATTGAACAATATACTGATGCTCTGGCTTTAAAAAAATATGAATTCAATATTGGAAAACCCTTATAATAAGTAACTTCAACTTCAAAGTTTTAAGTATAGCGTTGTTTTGTCTCTACATTCAATTTTTTTTAAAACAAAATATTGATGTCAATAATAGTGTGACTTTTATTCATACCTTTTTGCAAGTTTCTGTGGCCTTTGGTCACATTGTACATATGATATGGATGTAGTATGTTGATGTTATTCCCATGATAATCAACTTTTGTACCTGTCGCGACCGTCATTAAATAAATGTTATGTAATATTCTGTATTAACCAGTGGAAAAATCCAAGGTAGAACACTAAAAATGAAGCTCCTATTTGTGAGAAGATTGAGATCTTCCACTCAATGCATGAGTTTGAGTGTGAGACTGTGAGTGACCTTTCAGAATACAAGCGTAGGTGAATAAACATGTTATATAAAATTTATTTACCTTCGCAATGGTGTGATACAAAACATAACCCAAAAATTACGCCAGTTATGATGGCGAGACTCATCATTTTGTGAACTAGTGAAGCAAAAGAGCACGTCACTTGAATGAAATAAGAATTTGTATATGAAAACAAATTCTAAAAAACTATTCATAGCATTAAGCACAGGGGCGAAACTTGGGGGTTACAATTGGGGGGGTGTGAGCTGCTTTTGCCCGACGAAAAGGGCGTGGTTTTGCAGACTCCCGACAAACAAGGCGTGGTTTGATGGAGTATTAGAAACGAGTTATAGTTGCTTTAACACTAAAACTATAATTTATGCCAGAAAAATAGAAACTTTAATGCTTAACATTTTCTTAAGTCTTAACGGTGCGTTTGAAATACTTTCAGAATAGTTTAGCATGCATAGTGTTTGGGTTTCTGAACTTTTAACTTAGCATTATCTTCAATTTTCTGTTCTTGTGACTTGCCCATCTTCTCAGGGCTTCATTCATATCAATGGAGTCCACCAGATCTCTTTCAGTTGCAAGAACAATCAAATCATCTAGTCTCTGGTCACTCATTGTGGATCTCAAGAAGTTCTTTACAATTTTCATCTTACTGAATGTTCGCTCATCCTTAGCGACACTCACAGGAGCTGTGAAGAGAAGTTTGCATGTCTTGTACACATTTGGGAAAATTTCTTTGTCTGCATACGCTTGTTGAAATACGTCTTCAACGGTATTGCATGAGTTGTCTAACTTGTCCACCCGTTGCTGGAATATTTCAAATTCTGCGTGAAGACATTCTGGATTCAATGCCGCTGATGGTGGAAATAGTTCCGATATTTTATTCATTTGCTGAATCTCTGGCTTTTGTAATGGGGGACGAAGAACTTCCGCCAAAGGTTTTATCTTTTCCAGACACTGCTTTACGTTGTCGTTGTACTCAGTGATAAGAGAATCGATCACTTCTATGATAACCTTTCGGTAGTATGTGTGAAAAGCAATTGTTACGGCAGAATCTGGATTGTCGTCTTGCCTTCTTGTCATCCTTCTCGGTCTGTGATGACGGTTAAATTCTTTCTCTGGGTCAGTACCAAAGCGTTTGGAAAATTGAATGCTGGCTTCAATCTGTTCATCCATTTCTGACTCACTTTCTCTGATGGCTTTCAAGGAGATAATTGTCCCTTCTACCAATATCAGCGCATCTAAAATATTGAGGGCTTCCTTCTGCATCTCCATCGTCAAAATCTTTGTCTTCTTCATTATTGGGCGCATGAACATAAGAGTAAAAATAAAGTCGAATTTCAGCATATTGTCGTGCAGAGTACACGCTTTGGTCTTTGTCGCTGCATCTACATTTTCCAGCAGGGAAACTGACTTCAACGCATCTTTTACTGCTTCGAAAGACATCCAAACAGCGTCAATAGACTGACTTCGATATACCCAACGAGTTTTAGAAAGGTTTCGCAATTTTAAGGCATTCTCTACGGTCTTAAGGTGATCGCGAAGGACAATGTTACGTTTGCAACTTTGGCTAAAGAATACGAACAATTCCTGCAGCAACGTATACATGGATGCAACCAGTTGTACATTAGATGTATGCTCATTAAACGTGTTAGACCTGTGTCCTTGGCAGGGAATATAAGGAATGCTTCTTCCTACCAAATCCTGTAAACATTGTTGGGCACCTCTATATACACCAGACATAGAAGCTGTATAATCGTATGACTGATATACCAGGTCTTCTTTCTTTAGATATTTTGAATTCAAGGACTTCAAAATATCTTTTGCCTGTCCTTCACCAGTTTTATCAGTGGTTTCCTTCATTTCTAGCACTCGTTCTCGTGGATGATTATCTTCATCGATATATCTTACAGCAACAACAAGCCGATCAGTGTTTGCAGTATCTGGTGATGTATCAGCCATTACGGAGTGCATACCCGAAGCATTGACATCGCTAACGATACGGCTCTTGACATCTTCAGCAAGAATATTTATGAACTCGTTTTGTGACTCAGAAGATAGATATTTGACACAATAAGGTTTTTGTCTCTCATCTGATAGCCAATAACGAAGGTGCTGGTTGTGACGTGCAATGAGATATGCGATCTGGATGAAGTTCCCATTGTTATCACTCTGACTACCTCGGAATGCGATTTGTTGCCTAGCCAGTGTTCTAGCAATGTCGAGAAGAATCTTGATAATCTCTTCGTTCCTGATGTTGTCTTCTTCTTCCTGGACTCTAGCGGCAAGTAAGCGTTTGTTTAGCAAAACGTCAACATGTCTCATGCCGTCTGTGTATTGAGCAAGATCGCTCAGTGCAGCCTTGTGTGCCTCGCTTGAAAAGTGTTTTGCCATCTTCCCCTGTTTGTCCTTTCCCAAACTTTTCATTCTGTCCCATGATCGTAAACCATTTATCCAAGCATCTGCAGCCTTTTCTCTTCCAGGTCCAGTTGGAAATAAACTACAAACAAAACAAGAAACTGTATCGTTCTTCGTGCTGTATTCCAAATGGGGATATTCCTTGAACCATCCAAATACGAAACGACATTGTTTTCCGGACGAAATCTCTTGGTTAGTTGGATAAGATTTCAGCTTCGGCTGGTGCGGTCCAAGTTCGATTATCTTCTGCTTTTGAAGATCACTCAAATTTTTTGGTCGGTCGGCAGGATCAAACAGAGAGGTGAATTCATTATCCAATTGAGGGAGCCCAATGTCTAGTTTCTCCTGGTTTATTTGCTCGAGCGAATCTTGACAGTCTTTCACTATTTTAGTGGCAATATCTTTCACCTTTGAAACAGCATCGAGTACATCGGACAAGATAACTTGAGGGTAGACTATTTCTGATGTTATGGCGTCTGTCATGATACTATCACATTGGCAAGCAAGTCCTATCAGTACTTTAATACGTGCTGCATAGTTGGTCAATAATGTTTCATGACTTCGTTTTGACATTGCATCGACGTCTTCGTTTCTCCCCCCTCTTGCACTTGATCCAGTGACAACAGCTTCATCTGCTTCTTCATTTTCCTCTTTTTCATTATCTTTGTCTTCATTGTTCTGAATAGAATCATCATCTATGGGGCTGTCATTACCATCACTCTCGTTTACATCAATAAAATCATCTTCGTCTTGAACGTCATCATCTTTACTGTTCTGAATGGAATAATCACAACTTTTATGGGTTTCATTTTCGTCTTTATTCTCCACGCCATCTTTTGTTGTCATTTCACGAATCTCACAACGTTCAATGTTGCCTTCATGTGCACCTTCAATTGCGTTCTCCACTCCGTGTCCAGTATTTGCTCTGGCATAAATTTCAGTTTCTTTGACCTTTCCTAAAATAAACTGTTATGAATTACAAGAAAAACAGAAAAGGTATACAATTTATAGCTTGCTAATTATCATGTATGTTAAGCGTTCTCATGATTAATTAACAAAATTTTGTTGTTAATATATTAAGTTGATTCCTATTCATACAACGGGTGAAAGCAAAGGAAGATTACATACCTTTAAAAAATTAAGAGTCGTTTGACCTGCTTCGCGGATAGCTTCTGAAGATGCATTTCCACAATGCTTGTTCAAGTTGTGTTTGGGAAAATGATCACTGTTCATTTCTATATTACACGACGTGCATTTCACTTTATGTCTGTAATACCTGGCTTGCCTGTGCCGAATTTTTGGTTTCTTCGCGATTGGTTCTTGGTCTGAATTCGTTAAAAATCAGGTTACGATTAACGTCAATATATACTGATGAACTGTGAAATGAATGAAAGCTTGGTGCAAATGTGCCTCAACTCACCATCCATTTCGTCCTACTCTCTACTGCAGAGTTTTTAACTATTTCTTAATCTTAAACCCAACCATGCGGTCCATGCCCTTCGTTACCGATTTAAACCGTACGGCCCATGCTGGCATACTGCCGTAGGTTATCTTGCCTGAAATACAAATATTGCAGTCATGTAGAAAAGCTTTCTTGGCATTGCATAAGTGCATCAATTTTCAAAAACGCCTGTAGCAATTGTTGTATTAATTATAAACATATAACTCAGTTGAATACCTTAGGTTGAACAATACGCCTCCAAAAACTTTCACACGTTGCGCTAAACGTCAAACTTTAATGCGAAGTTATTTAACAACACGAGTTTGTAATCAGTTTATTCATGACAGAGGAAAGCGCTAGACCGTAAATAAGATGCTACGGTCTAGCGCTTTCAAAACCTCGTACACTCTAGCGCTTCAAAGTTTAAATTCATAACAAAAAGATTCTCAGTTGAGCACAAAATTCACTGACAGATCATAAAACATGTAATTACAGGAAATTTCAGGCATAATTTCTCGGCGAGATTCAGCATATTCGAGGCAACATTTTCCCGACGAGATTCAATATTCGAGGCAACATTTTCCCGACGAGATGCAACATATTTGCCCGACGAAATCAACATTATTGAGATTGGGGGGGTGAGACACCCCCCCAAACCCCCCCAGTAGTTTCGCCCCTGAATTTAAGCATGTCAGCATGAATACTATAGTATATTGTTTATAATTTAGAATCTGTAAGCCAAATTAATCGTGAAAGTATGAATTAGCTAAAATAAAACATGCCATAAAATATGCCGTTTCATTTACAAACGTTTTCAAACGTGAGGGTGCATGCATGGTTCATATTAAAAAGTTGAAATCGTTATGAATTTTACAAATTGCATGGCAATGAATAGATTTAGTGACAGACGTAGCTAGATGCACCTATAGCTACATGTATACTTATGTTTGGTTCGAAATTATAAACAAAGCGTTTATTTTCTCATATTTAGATCCTTTATATGTTTTGTTGAGCGATATATTAAAGAGCCAAGTAAAATTATATGATTTTTGGTACTTCACTCAATGTTGGTAAATTCTGAAGGTTTAAAGGGTCTCAATTTCGAGTGGAATTATACACACTTCAAATTCAAGCCAGGAACAGTTGATGCATTGAAAAATGAGTCAACCGTATCGGTCCTTCAGCAAGAATCGAACCTGCGCTTTTGCGATGCCGGCGCAATGCTCTTGCCTCAGTGGCAACATTTAATTGATAAAGTGAAACATTAATTTTTTTCAAATAAGCCAGCAGAAGCGACAGCTAACCTCCTCTGCAGGCATTTCTTATGTATTTATATTAGCCAAGCCAAATTTATATGCCTAATATAGATAAATAAGAGGTGCCTGCGGAGGAGGCTAAGCGAAAGACACTTTGTCACTTATTCCTGGTGATGCCTATACAATGTAATTAAGTGCCCAATATAAAGCTCTTTTGTGAAAGTGCCCTATAAAATGTGCACAGACCCAATTTGGGTAAATTCTGGACCTTTTACGTGAAAATTCCCTTACGAAAATGTTCTATAGAATCCTATAGAATATGCTATAACATATTCTAAATCCCATAGAATATTCTATAGGACTTCTTATCCTATAGCATATTCCATTGCCAAATTTTATAGAATTTAGAGATGCTATAGAATATTCTATTGCACATTCACAGTAAAATATATTCTATAGAACATGCTGTACACAATATTCTATAGAATTTAGAGATGCTATAGAATATTCTATTGAACATTCACATTAAATATCCAATAATATATTCTATAGAACATGCTGTACACAATATTCTATAGAATATATGTTATACAGAATGAGACCTTTATGCAATTTAAAATATAACATTTTTAGTACACTATTCCTTGGTCGAGAATTATATTCGCATTTTTTGTAAGGTTCTCTCAACATACTTTTAAAGTCTTAAAGTTAAAATTCTCAGCAGAAATCAATCGTTTTGTAAAGACAAATCACGAATATTTCACACATATGACATATCTCATATCTGTTTCATAATATGCCCGTTCGCAGGTTAGATGGCAGGCGTTTTGCCCAAACAAGGCCGCAAGGTTATGTGGGACTTGTTTAACCGCCACGCATTATTTTCAAATTTTGAGCGCGTCTTTGTATGTAGTTTGTCATCCGTTGATTCAACGTTTTATAACTGATACTGGTAGAATTTAGTGCGTTTTTCTTTCGTATTTTAACATAAAATACGCATTCTTTGAATTTGTCAAAGAGGAATCATAGGAGGGTGGTGAAACGCGCTGTAGTATGCGAGAAGAATCAGAAGATATGGATAATTTTGTGAATGCCTGAAAGGTGACTAGGATCGTGAGAAAGAAAGGCCATGGCAATGAGAAATTTCTAAAGTTAAGAAAATAATCAAAAGTTCATTGACCCATCTATACAACAACATGTGTAGCTAAAGTATTGGAATTCAGTGGTGAGTGTGTTTTGTATATGCTGTAAATGCTATATGTTTGTATAGGCAACATATGCTCTCTATACCATTATAATTAATCTCATAAATTTTTATTCACCTTTAGATTAAACTTTTTATTTGAACATTTTATTTACACCTTTTATTTATACCACTATAATTAGAGCCATTCCAACTAAAAATTATTTCTGTCAAGACATTTGCACTAGCTCTAGATAAATTTTATATATCATTAAAATTGAATTAAATATAAGCTAGGTCTCAAGTGTTTAATTGTGTGTTTACTGTTAAAATTTACAGATTTCCTTTTGTCCAAGCATCACACTAACCAAAGGTCAAAATGGAGCTCTATTAAAGCAATATTAAATGTGAAAGGTTTTGTTTATGCAGTGCCGTGGATGCAAGAACAACTTTGCTCTCATTTCATCACTGGAAAGGCTTCAAATGCCTAGCTTAATTCAAAGAAAAGGATGCAAAACCAGAGCCAGAGAAAGTTAAGAGTATATATGGTAAGCAGTATAATTGTTAGTAATTATGTCTGGTCTAAGTTAATATATCTTATATACATATCTTGGTTCAGTTATTGATGAGTTTTACCTTTTCTAGCTGTGTCTAAAGTATGGTGCAAAAAGGTTTGAGGGAAAAGAGGCTGACATATGACAAGTTACAGTATGGCACCAAAGATTAATAATATTGTGCAAGTTAAGAAAACCAAGTTGAAAGCATCTGGACATCAGTAACTATATGACATTCCATTTTCTACTGTTTACATGTTCTGTACATGTAAATATATTTAGTATAATAGCCTAGTTATATTTTTGCTATTTTCTTGCACAGTCATTTTATTTGGTGGGAAAACTGCAGTATGGTAATCATTTTATGTAGAAATTATTGAATAAATTTATACATTCATAAAAAACCAAGCTAAAATATTTCAATTTGAGTGACACCATATTATTTTCAATTACTTAGTGCATAATATTTCAATTGAATCCTCCTCAAAATGTGTGAAATGTATATAATTTTCACTTAACTACCATTTAAGCTAAACAGCCTTCAAACAACCGGCTGCAGTTGTTTTATCCACAAAACAAAATGATTATTTGACAGACTTAATTACCAGAACTAGAGTTCTACATGCAGATTAAAGTTATACGGACACTTATAGGACTTGTTTTTTATTCTTTGTTGTATAATATATGTATTTCAATTTCTTTAATCTCTAGATTTATTTATATGTAATTTAAGCAAGGCATTTTCATTAAATCTTTGCATCAATTAAATAAATTTGTTACATATATTTGGGAATATTTTATTTGTTTGTATGTCTCACTCTTGGCAGAAAGAAGTTTTGATTATGTTGTTATAAAGTGATATATTTCAAAATCGAAACATGGACGAATGTTGAATATACCATTTATCATCCAATAGCATATTTAATAGATTATCCTATAAAATATACTATAGAATACATATTCTATGGAACATTTTATCACATATTCAATAGGATTATTAATGGAATATTCCATAGATTGAAAATATTTTATGGAACATTTCATATAGGATGTCATAGAATATGTGTTAGAATGTTCCATAGAATACCAGTATTCTATAGAACATTCTAATGAATGTTCTGAAGGATATTCTATTGAATATTCTAAAAAACATGGCATATGTTATAGAATATTCTACTAAAGGTGCTATAGAACATGTTGTAGAACGTTCCATAGAATAGGTTCCAAAATCCCTTAGAATATTCTATAGGATATTCAGTAGAGAATTTTAATGGAATATTCTATAGAACATTTTTGTAAGGGAACTGCGATCACGAGATAGGATGCATTAAGATTTGAAAAAAATTCATAACAAAAGGGCGCCACAGCCCACAAGGTTACAAGATAATCACTCTTTTCATCATTAACCAAAAAATAGAAAGGTGCAGCTAGCATGATTCTAGCAGAAAAGTACTTACCGCGTGTGTTCTATATACTGCTGGTCCACTGTTCGCTGATCTGTTTGCAATACGACCTTTTCGTCTGGAACGTCTCGCTACAGTATATCGTTAAATAGAAGCCTGTATAATAAACGTTAAAAATAATATAAACGGTGTACGAAATTATATCACCGTATTCTATACATCTCGATTCTCGACTGCGTTTCAGACAGCAATAGCGCTGAATTACATGAGATTAAAGTGAAAGGTAAATCTGAGTAATATTATGCGAGCAACTTCCTGGATACAAGGAATGTATGAAAAGTACGCTAACAACAGCAATGGGATAAGTAATCCTGAAACTATAAACAAAGGCGAAAATGTTGTGCTATAATTACAAAAATGAAATGATTGATTTTTTCGGGAAAATTGGTTACCATTAACTAACATTAACTCAACTTAAATTGACGCTGCGGACAAAGGCGTTTAATTCATACTTGCTCTAGAGATAAATGAGAGATCTGCTCTTGAATGAACCTGAAATAGTACAGGGCGGAAATCCGATCTACTTTCTCAATTTTTTTACTGACATGGAATGTCAGTTAAGAAGTAAACATCAGTATATTAGGCATAGATAAAGCAATCTTTCATAATGGAATGCGCATTGTGGGATGCATGGACGCATATTCTGCTTAATAGGGGCGACTTACACGAGCCCTAAAGAGAGAGTTCGCTCCACCAGTATATGCATAGAGCTATAGTTCTTTAGCCCTCTTCGTACGGCTGGGTTCGCTTTCAAAAACCTCGTTGAATAGCTTCTCAAATCATATTATGAATTATGTTGTTCAGAAATAGGCACATTTTTGAATGCTAACCAACAGAATGTAATTGTTAGACTGTAGTGCTGCATAAAATTATTTGAAATGAAAAAGTCGAATGTGCTTGAGGGGAATACGGTAGTTTTTAACTCTGCCTTATTAAAATAGAAGGGCCAAGCTTTCCTCTCTGCGTTAACACGCAATATTTTCAACCCTCCTACACGAGATCTCGCCGGACAGCACTTCATGTAGGGCCTATGTTATAAATAGGCTCTATATTGAGAAACCCCGAATTTCAAGAGCGAAATTTGAAATTACGAAGAAAACAGAATGCAGAAATTTAATTTTAACACACAATGATGACATTATAAAGGTTTTCCTGTGAAGCGCATCAAGATTTTACGACGGCCATTATTTTGACAGTTTGTTGATTTGTTTGATCGTGAATGATCTTACGCTAATGCACCTTTGTTAAACACTCGACTGAACTTTACGCAACCTTCTATCGCTTTTGTTCTAGTAAACAAATTACAATTTATGGTTAGTTTTCACTCAGGAAAATTCTCCTTTGGATCGGACAGGACAGGAAAGTTTCCTTTTATAAACGCCGCCTGAGAATTCACCGACAAAGGAAATTTTTCTTTCCATTCCGATCCAAAGGAGATTTTTCCTGAGTGGAAACTAGCCTTTACAGATTACAAATTTGGCGCCAAAGATATATAATACTATCGACAATTACAAATATTAAACATACGTTCCTAAAAGTACAACGAATAAGGGCTGCTTTAATTTCACTGTCGCGTTTTTTTAACCCGCGGAAAATGCTTTCAAATAGTTATTATTTCACAAATGGATCAACAAACGCATACTAAAATATGCGGAAAATCAAGTTCCTTCGATTTATTCATCTCGCTTTTCCAAATATGAGGTAATAGCAGCCCTATGAATTACTCACCAAACGTCGAGGTCAATGAAACAAGGATAAACTTAAAACGTAGCCATGCATTACTGTTTGTCATACCTATACAAAACATGAAATACAACACGGCCGCGAGTGTTGTAAACAACTTGTGAAATAGGAGCTATTATTACCTTTTAGAGTTTTTTAAAACACAAACTCAAGTTATAATTTTCAATTTTTTTCATTTCAATGAGAGATTATCCAGATGGAGGGTATCGAGTAGCATACCTGCACAAGTGTTATAGCTAGTCTTGTATAATTACGCTCTGCTCATATCTGAAGTTTTTGTAATTTAGTGGTTAGCGTTTCACCAAATTCATTCCAGAATGATCAGCAATAATGGGACATGTCGCAGCTCTTGGAAGAACGAAGCTTTGTCATTGGTTTATTGAATATATATATACATATATATATTTATATATATATATCTATATATATATATATATATATATATATATATATATATATATATATATATATATATATATATATATATATTTATATATATATATATATATTTATATATATATATACACCCATTTGCAAAAACGTTGGCCGCAGATAGATAGATAGACAGATACTCGAAGTCTAATTAGAATTGCATATGATTACATTTGCATGGGATTTCAATCATATTACACAACATATGCAATTCTAATTAGATTTCGAGTATCTATCTATCTATCTATCTATCTGCGGCCAACGTTTTTGCAAATGGGTGTGTATATATATATATATATATATATATATAATATTAAATATATATATATATATAATATATATATATATATATATATATATATATATATATATAAATATATATATATATATATATATATATATATATATATATATATATATATATATATATATATATATATATAATTAATTAATTATATATATAATCCCCGAGCCGAGGGTACTAATCCCGCCCGGAGATTACACCCGGATATTCTGACAGAACACAGGCGAATCCAAAGTTGCCCAAATGTCATGGACGTTCAATGGTCATGCTAGTTGTGCGCATGCGCGAAATTTGAACGAAGAAAGAACGGTCGTCTACAACTTGCTGATTGGCTAAGACAAAAAGAGAGCATGCATGATAGCGTGAGCATTTTAACCGTCATTTTGCAAACTATTTTTTAAAAATATAAAACGAAATCATGGAGTCAATTATTAAAACAATAATAAAAGATCAACACAGCACAGAAACAGTTGGTGAAATAGGAACGACTCGTAGTTTATAATCTTTGAAGTGGTAGGTGTCTATAATTTGCTTATTCAGTATTTGCTGTAAGAATGCATTGTTATTTTGACAAGTACGAGCTTGGTATGTCGTTTTACAAGAAGCTAACCGACCGTTTAAGGCTTTACATCATCGCTTAAATTTTAAAAAGAGTTCTAAAAAGTGTACTTCAGAGTCTTGATAAAACAAATATCACTTTGCAGCTTATATAGTCGCTAAAATCATTGAATAAAATAAATAATCGAAAAACAACATTTGACGTTTAGTGCTTGTATGGTTATAATAATTATTTGTGCTGTTTTGAAGGTTTAGCTATAGAAAAGTTTAACACTCACTTAAAATGCAACGTAATGCAGGTGATTTCTGTTCACCTTTACGACTGTCTTTGTTTCCCAAAAATTTACACGAGTTATTTCATAATATTAGCGTAGAAAGTTAGGTCTGGGTAGCGCACGAAATATTTTGCTTCGTTTAAAATGGCGAGGGGTTGCTGCATGCATGTATTTCTAGTATTCCCGTTAATCACTGAGCCTGGGGCGAATAATTGTTTTAGTATAAATTTCAAGGTGTTTACAAATAATAATCAACACAATTTCATAAAAAAATTTCACTACTTTAAATTTCTTATTTAAAAAAAAGCCAACAAAAAGCTATAGTCACCGACCGGTTGCTATATCACTTCAGAGAAAGTCGGATTTTTAACTAATCAGATTATACTAAATACTATTATCAGGTAATGGCAATGTTTGTAAAGTACAATATTTTTCACTATAAATGTCAAAGTGACTGTTGATCATCCTGCATTCTAATCAATAGTCACTTTGACATTTATACTGAAAAATAGTGTACTTTACAAACATTGCCATTACCTGATAATAGTATTTAGTGTAATCGTAAACGTATACTACAAAATATCATTTATCGCTGGTTCTGATTGGTTGCGTTACTATTAAGCTATTAATGATAACTCGGTTTCGTCTTGTCGAAGATCTCCTTATGGAAAACTCGGTCACGTTCTCTAATTTTATTTATTGAGGATTATAACATGCTCATGTTTTGGCAAGAAAAGGATAGCTGGAGTTTTGGAATCCAGTTTAATGTATTTTTTTCTTAACCTTCGACGGTTAGAAAATATCAAAACACAGACAATGATAACGATGATGATTGCTGCTATTGTCATCAATAAAGGCCATTTGGGTTCATTCGATTTCTCGCCTGATTTTGATTTTCCTGAAAACGAAAATAGACCAATAATTTTTGGCATTGGTAATTGACTGGTAATGGATATAATTACATAACGGTTTTTTTAACAGCT